CTCCGTCGTTTCCGTCGTTTTCGTCGTCTCCGTCGTCTCACTTGACCTGCCCGACGCGCCAGGCCGCTGCGTCAGTCGTCCACCGACCGGCGCCACGGCTCTGGCAGCCGCCGACCCGACGAGACTGAGCGAAAAGGCGACCAGGCCCGGGCAACAGCGCTCCGTCGTTCGCAACCAGTCGGGCTCGCGCAATCGAGCCGGCAGCGGCGGCAGGGTGCAGGACTCGAGCACCAGAGTGCTCTCCTCCTCCATCGACACGGACGCCACTTCGGCCGGCTCCAAAAGAGTCCCGTTGACGCTGTCCGCCGTGTCCGAGGCTGAGGCTTGTCCCAACAGATCATCGCGCCACTCGACAGTCTGGCAACGGGCAAAAGAGACGCAGGCAATCGGGTCAAGACATGACAGACCTTCTGCCTCCCCCCCAGCCAGAACCCTACCTTCTAGTGTGGGCTTCGCTATTTGCCAAAGGAGATCACGTTGACCCTAGTCACAAGGCCGAGAGGGTACCAAAACTTTCGGAAATGACCATGTGAAGCTGAGTAGTGGAATGATTCCAAAAAGAAGACGATGAGTGTCCTAAACGAGGATCAGATAGACTTTCCGTAAACGTCACTTTTGGGTAGGCTATGGAATCCTAGTGATTGTTGTGTTTAATTCCATTTCGAGTGAAAGTGTTTGGTGAAGATATTGGAAAGTCGGTTCTACCAGAAGACGACGGCGGATTCCACTTGACCAGCTGTCGATTGGCTTTACTGGAACATTCATGCTGACGGTGCTTTTGAGGTAATCTCCTTTGAGTAGGCAACTATTCCAGGTTCTTGACTGGTTTGCTTGAATTTTGTCACATGACGGACGAAAACTTAGCACCTTTTCACCGGAATCGAAGCAGATAACCTCAGAAACAGCGTCAGCATGAAGATTTCAGTAAGGCCAAACAACAGTTGGTCAAGAGGAATCCGCCGTCGTCTTCTGGTGGAACCGACCTGCGAATCTTTTCAGCAAACACTTTCACTCGAAATGGAAGTAAGCACAACAATAATGAAAGAAAAGATTTCTCGAAACCCAACTTCTCGTCGCATATTTTACAGGCGATGTCGCTATTCCGGATAAATTGTATAGTGTGGTTGAGATGCCAAAAAGTGAAATTCCAGATAAACTTTTGCATCAATATAGAGATGACAATTAATAATATAGATAGTAGAAAGACAATGAAAACACTCATTCAAGATGTACGGATAGCCTCGAATGCCTACTCAATTTGGGCATCAGGAAGATCATTACCAGAAAATATTATTGATACCTTTCATTTCGTTCGAGGAGGCGGGTCGCAGGGATTCGTAGATTGGCCGCACCGGATACCGCAGGAGGGTTCCCTTGGACTTTTGTTTGTTGAATTGTGCGAAGAAGACCTCGGCTCATTGTCTCATGACCTTGATGACCTTTCGTCCATCTTCTGACGGACATCGTCAGAGCCGGAAACCATTATTCAGGAAAAATCGACAAAACACTAAACCAAGAAAGGTGGCCAGCTGAGATCCTACTTACTTCTTATACTTCACTTTGCGCTCTTAATAAGTAAAAGGGATGCAGTAAGGGGTGCGGATGTGATAACACCTTTTGTGTATGTAAATAAACCAGAGTATGATCCAGTAGTCCTGGGTCTGGTTGCAGCTTCGTGGATGCGTGTTTGTGTGTGTACGCAACAACCCCGAGTTGGTTGACAATTTTAGCTCCCAAAACAAGCTCCAATTTAGTATAGTCTTCTCCTCTTACTCT